TTAAAAGTAATTAATTACTTTTCATTTAAGGGTGTGGGTGTGGGTGTGAGTGTAGGTGTGAGTGTGGGGTGTGAGTGTGGGGTGTGGGTGTAAGTGTGAGTGTCGGGTGTGAGTGTGGGGTGTGGGTGTAAGATGTGTGGGTGTAGGTATTCGTTTCAATGAGACACCCACACGTACACCCATCTTTGAGCACCTTTAAGGGAAACAAACGAATTAAGGAAAAATATGGATACTATTGTAGAGGCACATGAAATCGCGTGATGGCCCATAGACGTGGTACGAAAAATTAGCCGTCAATAGAGAATAAATGTTTCCAAAATACAAATTTTTATTATCAGTTGTGTTTCTATTGCAATCTTTTCAAATTTGAAGCTTGTGATATTAAATTTAAAAGTTCTAGTTCGTTTTGTTTTATTCAAATCTACACACTAATTGGTATAATTTCTATGCTAAACATTTCGTGAAAGCAAATACACACTGCCACGTAAGCTTAGAAGAACAAATTTCGGCATTCAACTCATTACATTAGCTAATTTGTTTCATTTTACAGCATAGCTTTTTAGTAATCAATTGGAGCAGTCACATGCGACAAACCGAACCTTCTAATTTTAGAAGCGAATCAACAAAACAGCTTTGTTGTACTCGTTTAAGACGTTTCATCTTGAATTGAATTATATTATTACACAGAACCATTTGAATAACTGTCTAGTCAAGTGTCTCCATCAAAATAAGCGAACGGTCTTATAGGATAACTCAACTTATGGTGTGAAAGAATCCGATCAAAACTGCTCAACATGCATGTCAATTAGACTACATATTGTAACGAAAAAAAATGATAGAAGAAATGTGATTGTGGTTGGTGATTCTATTCCTTCATATCATATAATCGTCTTTTGACGATCAATGATACAAGGAATGTTAGTGTTGATGTTGATACACTTTATTCTATTCCGTCATATCATACAATTGTCCCGTTTACATTTAAATCACACGTTTATATACATGAGTAGAATAAGCGATGATGCAAAGAAAGAAGATGAGGCCATGAAGAGAACAATGTAAGAATGAACAAGTGATGAGACCAAGGAGAAAACAGATATAGAAGAACAATCGAGTAAGGACATAGCATAAGAATGGATAGATGAGAACAATACATATAATATACGAGTGAATAACGATATAGAATGAGAAGAAGGTTCAATCATGCATAGATAAACGTAACAGTAACACGATTATGAACATTAAGTATTGTTGATTGTATAGCAACACACTGAGAAAGAAAAAGACATCACATAAGATAAGATACCTATTGGCACACATATGTGAAGTTTTTCAAATATTTTCTTTCAATTCACTATCTTTTCATAAATTTTTGACATAATTTCAAGATTAATTTAACACAGTGGGATGTACTCAAAATTTCTTTTAGTCAATAAGAATTTTCCATTATACGATTTCATGTGCCTCTACGATGGTGTTCACATTTTCCCTTAACTCGTTGCTTCCATTAAACGGTTACCACACTCACCCACACTCCACACTCATCCAAACCCACACCCACACCCCACATCTACACCCTATGGTGCTGATTTTACGAAGATACAGGATTTCGAAAAATATCATGTGGATTTTTAGAGTATAACGTTTCCTGTTAGTGCGGCTTTGTAAGTTCTGATTACACGATATAATACGATACTTTTGCCTGAAGTCTACAACCGCTGATCAATTTTTTCTCTCTCTTTTTATTAAGATCGGATGATGAAAATTTCTGATATAAGGCATATATGAATAAAGTCCTTTTTTGAAACTGAGATAATTTGGAATCAAGAAAACGTGGTCCCTCCATCAATGATAATACTCTGTCCAGTCATATAATCAGAGTCTTGGCTAGCCAAGTACGACACTAAGCTTGCGATATCTTCCGGCTTGCCTATTCGGCCGAGAGCTATGAGGTCGTTTTCATAATGTTTGATGATGTCTCCCTTCTGCTTTCCTTGGATTTTTGCGAATTCTTCATCAGCCATATCTCCCATAGCAGTTTTGGTAAATCCTGTTTTGATCATTAGATTTGTATTTTTAAATAAAACCGGTACGAAACGTACCTGGACAGTAAGCATTGACTGTAATCTTGTGCTTGGCCCATTCCATGGCAGCGGCTTGCGTAAGACCACGCACACCCCATTTACTGGCACAATAATGGCTCGCCATTGGAGCTGATCTGTGTCCAAATATACTGCAGGCACCGATGATTTTTCCTCCTGTACCTTGTGCAATCATGACTTTAGCAGCCTCTTTGTAGCAAAGAAACACACCCCGCATGTTGACTGCAAACATCTTATCCCAATCTTCTGTAGTAATATCAATGATCGGTTTCACCTGGGCAATTCCTGCATTAGCGACTACGACCTGTGTTATTAGCTAGAAAAAAGCTGAAAGAATCAAGAAAAAGAGGTGCCTACGTCCAAACTGCTCAGTTCTTTTGCAGCGTTTTGCATCATTATTTCGACCGCTTTATCAACAGAAACATCAGCAGTTATAGCGACAGATTTTCGACCCATTTTTTCGATTTCTTGTTGAACCTTGTTGAGACCTGACGAACTTGCTTTAATATCATTCACAGCAACATTAAGACCATCTCTAGCAAGACGAAGGGCAATCGCACGTCCTATACCCTGGGCAGCACCAGTGACAAGAGCGTTGCGAAACATCGTGAATAGCGAAAACTGGAAAAGAGAGAAAAATGAGAAGATAGATCTTCGTCGTTCTCTTACAGGATAACAAAGTGAAACTATCCGTATACATAGTCACACGTTTTTCCATAGCCGAAAACAACAATTTTATAGTTAGTAACCAATAGTCTAGAACGAGTTTGCCATAACTTGAAAGTGAGTTTGTTTCGGTTACATAGAAATGTCAACCTAAGAAATAGGTTTTTGGAGTCTGTGCCCTATGCGGATTGCGTTCTCTGATATGCATTCCAGAGAGAGAAGCGAAAAAGTGGGTAGGGACCAAAATATATTTGAATATGCAGTTCAACTAACTTTTTCGTTCTGAAAAAAAAATTCTATCACACTATGAGTAAATTAAATGAACCAAACCGATATTGTCGGCACTTTTATGATAAGTAAACGTATACTGAAGATTCAATGGTGGAAAAATACACAGCTTTATTGCCGAATAACTTGTTATCTTTGTTTGTATTCTGGTCATCTCATGGTTTGAGGTGGATTTTTTCTAATCAAGAAAGCTTTCTTTTTGTTACAACATAAAAGACTGTTTTGTCGCTCTAATAGTCTATAGTAGTTCAACCATGTTCAGATTTCTCATAAGTTTCGTTACTTTCGAAATTTCTTATTTGTCGACATATGCGAGATTCCACACGTTCTAAAAGCGACTGCTTTGCGCTACTTTGCAACTATCGAACTTATGTAAATTGCAGATATTCTGATAATTTCTTTCTTATTTTTGAACAAAAATGCATGTTTTTCCTTGTATTTTACTTCAAAATATTACTAAACGATTTAGTGCAGTTCTTGACCTAGACATGACTAATTTTCAGTATAAATTTTGAGTAAACAGAATTCAATTCTTATGTACTTTTATTCGTTTTGAACTTTACTCTCATGCTGTAATATAATGTAGAAAAATAAATAAATAAATATCCAAAATAGTCATCCGCTCCGGACTGCGTTGTACGTAAGCTACAACAGAATATATTAAGATTGCTTGAGACATCTTTTCTGAGCTAGTGCGGACGAACTGGAACGAAATAAGTCATACTTCGAGATGCTTTTTCTTTTTTACATGTGTATTGAAGGCAAAATAAGGCATAAATACTGATTTATATTATTTTTCGTTGATACTGTGCTTGTGATAGAAGAAATAGTATTGAACTGATTGTTTTTTCCTACTGTGAGAATATTCGTTCCGGTTTACTATCTATTTCTAGCATTCTTTATCGACGATCTTTTAGTCATTGATTGATGTGTTTGAATGGCATTCAAAATCGGACGTCTCAAAAATAAAACGTTCGATTGAAATTCTCATCGCGGCATACAGAGTATGTTTGATATGATATACGCATATAGTAGAACATCGAACTATGTATAGAAGTATTGTGCATATGTATGAGCGGCTATGAGTATCGGGATTATGTGTAGTATTCGAGCTATTGAGGTATGTGAGTAGGAGAAGCAATACTATTGATTTAAACTTTTTCATTGGGTATTTCGAACCATTGTATTCGATTATTTTCAGCAAATCCACAATTACACAATAATGAAATGACCTACAGTATGTAAAATAATTATTTGGACACCTATAATTTTCTTTTTATGGCGCCTTTATTCTGCATCAAAATATTTTGAACTATATATCATTTGATAGAGAAAATAAAATTGAATCAAATCATGTTTTTGATTCCTAAAAATCATTAAATAAAAGACATATTAATTGTTAATTAAAATTAGTATTTTAAATAGATCTTCCGATAATCTTGGTTTTTAGGTAGCGAAATCAAACTCTAAATTTTTTTGAACGATACAGGCTTCTGAAGAGTTAAATTCGTCGTAAAATGCTGTGCTTAGTTGCATAATAACTAGTTTTCCTGTAAATTATAAGATCCTATTCTCTTCAAGTTCACTTTACAGTGGAGAAATAAGCAAAAAAAGATTTTTTTTTTCGTTCTGTCGCTTTACATACACTGAGTCGATGAACGAAGGAGAGAAAGATATATATATATATGAATACGCTATGCATATAAAGTGACAGAACGAAAAACAAATTGTCTTTTGCTTATTTCTCCACTGTAAGGTGAACTTGAAAAGAATAGGATCTTATAATTTACAGGAAAACTAGTTATTATGCAACTAAGCACAGCATTTTATGAAGAATTTAATTCTTTGCAAGCCTGTATTGTTCAAAAAAATTTAGAGTTTGATTTCGCTACCTAAAAACCAAGATTATCGGAAGATCTATATAAAATACTATTTTTAATTAACAATTAATATGTCTTTTATTTTATGACTTTTACGAATCAAAAACATGATTTGATTCATTTTTGTTTTCTCTGTCGAATGATATATATTGCAATAGTTCAAAATATTTTGATGCAGAATAAAGGTGCCATAAAAAGAAAATTATAGATGTCCAAATAATTTTTTGCACAGAAAATAAAACAGTTTATAGAAAACCTTCCAAAACTTTATGAAAACTTTTTCAAGAGATAATTTTTTTTTCGTAGAATAAAGTAGAGTGTTTAACCTATCGAATCGTATAATGAGAGCCGAGAAAATGTTTTTTCTTTGTAAAATTTGCTTCACAAGATAAGTATAACAGGGTGTCCAAATAATTATTTTACGTACTATACATATACATACTTTATCTATGCGTACGCAATGGCTTCTATAGAACAAACAAAATGAAAGAGAAGCAAACGTGATATACTCTTTTTAATATCAAACATGTGGGATTGGTAAGGGTGAATCATGTTCGCGTATCTTGTATTTTATTCTATATAAGGTATTGGGTATGAATTAAAAATATAAATAAAGTGATGAACATAAATATAGGAAATTTTTGTTTTTGCTGTAACTCAGCCGCCTTTATAGATAGAGACCTTGTTCTTTCAGTGATAGTAAGATCTTGCTAAGTACTATGTTACCTGAAAAAATTGCCAAGATCGAGTCTCTTTTGGATGAGTTATAGCGAAAACAATTTTTCTCCAGCGGACATAACTTTAGGACATGTTTGGTATTTTGTAGTTTCTGACCAAGTAATAGTACTGAAAACAGTTGAAACACATACGATTCGATGCAGAATTTTGTCCTGTACATTTTGATAAAAAAAGTCCAATCCACGATCAATCCTTATTTTTGAAATCTAGTATTTATTACCCATGAAAAACAATTTTATAAAATTTGGCGTTCAAACGCCAACTTTTAGTAAAAAAACACTATTTTTTGCGTTTAAACGCATCCTGTTCTATTTTCAACCCGTTGAAACGCATTCTTGTCAATTCACAACGCGTTCAAACGCACTTTTTTTATTTGCAATGTGTTTTTTTCTTCTTAAAACGTCAACTAAAAACAACGTTTGAACATGTGATAAGAAAACGCATTTCTCACCCCAACGAACGCTATCGAAAACATCATTAGAACGCGTTTAATATTATGCATTCTAATGAGTTTTTTGTATGCATTTAAATACATTTTTCAAGTAAAAAACGAAATCTTCTTAAACAAACGTGCTAAAACGCGTTTCTTTTGCTATATTTTTTCTTGAAAAATTCGTTTTTCATAAACGCGTTGAAACGCTATCTTCTTAATGCGTTTGTTCTAGAGAAAACGAATATTTTTGATATGCGTTGTAACGATTGATTGAATTTACGTCATTTGAGTAAGAACTTAGTTCTATAGAATAAGAATCTACTCCAATTAGAACAAATAACAAATGACACCAAATACAAACGTGTTAGAGTCAGATATTACTGTTCATTACATCAAGTGATTTATATATAATAAAAGAGAATATATTCGAATTATATTCAATGAACAGATATATCTTTTTAAAAAATGATAACTGTAGATTACCAAAAGCATATTCTTTAACTAGACTCAATCAATATTGGATAACGAATAAAGATAAGTTGATTTTCAAATTGATAGTAAGATATTTTTTCAATAACATTGTTTGTATTAATATGGATATGATGATCAAAACTGATTGTTCTATATTCAATATTATCGCATAGGTACGAAAGACCATATACAATATTCCGGTCATAACCTTGATAGACTTTGTTACAAAACGGTTGTATATATATATTATTGAATCCCTCTACATCTTAAACAAGATAACTTCTACTTCAGTATAAAGGATTAACTCTATACTCTTTTCGTATGACAGTGATTAACTCGAGAAAGAATAAAGTGATAGTGCCTATATGCCCATCACCATTGCAGTCTACTTTCATATAATACAATCGTGTCTTTTTCTTTTCAATAGTGTTCTTGTATAGTCCGTCGACGAATGTTGGATGTATTGTTTTCTATGAAGCTAACAACGATAACTCGTTTAGGCCTAAAATACACTACACGAATTAAAACTGAATTAAGCAACGTGAGTGGTTCATCGACATTTAAATAATCTTTTTGTGATGATTGGTTCGTTAAATCAGTTTTAATTCGTGTAGTGTGTTTTAGGTCTTAGTATCTGCACAGTAGATTTAGATAGCGTATCGTATTTTAATATATCTAATGGTTCTATTGGATGATTTCTTCTATAATTTTTTTTTTATTTATAAATATCTTGGGACTAACTTATTCATTAAAACAGCTCGTAATTTTTGTATATATAGCGCCACTATTCTGCTTGATTAAATGTATTTCGCAGAGCTGATTCAGTATCACTAATATTATTTTGAATTTATAAATAGAGAAAACAAGAGATTTTCTTGTAAAAATTTATGTCAGGAAGTATTATGTTAGTTTTAATTGTTAATTATTAAATTACCAAGTTATTTATTCTTTGAGATCGAATTGATTTTGCGCAGAATAATTTTCTGTAATCCATTTTTATCTTACCAAACCTCATGATGTCCTGATACCGATATATTCTTCTTCTCTTATACTCTGACTAATATCTCCTCGTCGTTTCGTTGGTTTTACTTTCACTATTATTTTTTCACCCTTTCGTTTGTTTTATTCTCGTCATTATCCAATCATTCTTCCCTTTCTTTTATCATAACCATTGTCCGTTCACCTCTTTGTCTGTTTTCCTCCAACTTTTATCACATCGTCTCTTTGTCTATTTTGTCCATTCTATTATCCACCCTTTGTTTCGTTCATTTTACTTTGAGTATACCCTTCCCTTTTTTAAGTAGTGTTACAGATATAGGTGTAGCCTGCTTTTACCTAGTTCTTAAGAAATTACTAAAAAATATACGTTTCCTTCCTCCCTCTCAGTGTCAGCTGCTTTACGTATTTTACCCTAAATATGTATTTCATTCATTCGCACCACGCTACTTGCATTTCTCGATAATTTCACTCTCCAGATTTACGAAATTTTTCCTACACTATCGCCGCTATGGTGCAAGTCTAAATACTTAACTTACTCTAATATCTCGTCCTATTTAGTTTTATAATGAAATCTTGCGTTAAGTTGTTATAGGTGTTGATAATGCAGGATTCATTTCTTACTTGTGGTCAGTATTTTTTTCGACAGAAGGTATTCCAGTATGTTAAGCATTTCGATTTGTTGCACTATAACAGCGATACTTCTTTGGAAAAATTTCATAAATCTGGAGAATGAAGTTATTGAGAAATGTTAAGTAGAGTGATGTGAATGAATGAAATACATATTTAAGGTAGAATATGTTAAACAAGTGATGCTGAGAAAAAGGAAAGAAAATTACACAATTTAAACGGGGTGTGCGTGTGGATGGGCGTGGGGAGTGGGTGGGCGTGGGGTGTGGATGGGCGCGGAGTGTGGGTGTGGGTGTGCGTATGGGTGTGTGGGTGTGGATATGTGGGTGTGGGTGTGCGTATGGGTGAGTGGGTATTATTTTTCCCAAAAGCCACACCCACACCCTCATTGTTAATTTCCGTTGTTGATGGAACATTATTTTCATTTTTTGTATGATAAATCTAAAAGAATTTATCATTTTATACAAATAGTAAAATTCATGAAAAAGAATATATTTATTTAATTTATCATAATCCGAACAAAGTTCATTATATTTATCTTGAAGATTCATTAAATTATAACCATACAATTAAAATTGCAAGGAAAAAAAAAGACCAAATCATACTATCATGGTAACAATTTTCAAGATTTAATTGATGTATACCTTTTGCCCTATTGTAAACCGCATGTAATATAAAAAATTCTTTTAAATCATTATAATAGGAGTAATCAGGATTAATTGAACGTGTAGAGGTTAATATATCATTAAATCCCATGTAAATTATTAATAATGCAATCTATAAACAATACTCAACAGTATAATGAATGGATATATTGTGTTTTTTCTTACTTTTACAAAAATAAGATTATTGCCTTGATCAAGTTGATTTGTATTCCATTCACAAATTGAAGTTGTTGATTGTACTATTAAAGGTAAAAAAAAAAGATATTGAAAGAAATAGATTATTATAAATACTTGAAAGATAGTCAAGAATAAATCAAAATTTTTGTTCCATACTATCCAATATGGGAACAATTATACGTATTCATTCAGGCTGTCGTTCTTCGCTAAATAGTTGAATAATATTTAAATGATAGCAGAAAAAACAAGCATATATTCATACAATTCACCAATAATATTAAGAAAATGAGTACCACCTCGACGATCTTCAATTGGCCGAGCTGGTTCAATTAATCGATTGATTAATGAATTAGTCTAAAACTTCAAGGTTTAATATATCAATAAATATATTAAATTTATCACTTACACCAATAAAATATGTTTCTCGTTTAACATCTTTGCAAACTAACGAAAAGAAAATGATGATAAAGAAAGGAAACATGATTCACTTCACATTTCCCAGACAAAGAACATTGATAACCAATGAAACTATAGTATCAAAACTTCCTTTTTTTAAATTTTATTTTAAACTTTAAATTAATTTTTATCAAACAAAAATCGTTAATCTTTCTAAAATGTTCTTTATCTAAAACACTATCTTTCTTTAATTTAGGGATGTGCAGTTTCGGTGAAAACAGTGAAATACTGACAGTGATTTCACTGCACTGAGCGCACTGGCTCCACTGGCTGCACCGACATTGGTGTTCACTGAACCAGTGTATACACTGGCACTGACTTCACCGACATTGGTGTTCACTGAACCAATGGATACACTGACTGCACTTCGTTGCACTGACGCAGAATGAAACATTGATGTATTAATACAGATTTCCATTGACTCAGTGAACACCGATGCCGGTGCAGACTGTGGAACAGTGCAGTCAGTGACAGTGTATACACTGGTTCAGTGAACACCAATGTCGGTGCAGACTGTGGAACAGTGCAGTCAGTGACAGTGTATACACTGGTTCAGTGAACACCAATGTCGGTGCAGACAGTCTCTGGCGGGCCGGACACCGCTCTTTTGGCGCCACCTGAGCTGGTAACCGTGTGGCAATTGCCACACGGTTACCAGCTCATATAGCGCCACTTGGCCCGCTAATGCAGACAGTGGTCAGTATACTGAAACTGCACATCCCTACTTTAATTTGATCTTTCTAAAAAAGTTCTATTATAGATGGCACCACACTGAATCTTCTGTTAACTGCCTTGTAATTTGGAAACTCCTTTTTTACGACGTCAAACATCTTGATTAACTTCCAAACATTCTCGATCACCTTATCTTTTTATCAATCCAATAATTAATTTATTCTTTCAAGAATCTCCTCGATTTATTTTCATCATCTAATTGAAAATAAAAGTGAAACTGTTCTTACTGCTAATCCACTATCATGTAGTAAAACAAAATTACTCACATAAATATTTTAATAGACTTTATACTGACGAACCTTTTCTTATTGTACGTTTCTTTTAATTTTTTTTAATTCATTCTATTAAATCACCAGCTATACAAGAAATCTTATCTCAATATAATATTCAAACAAAAACTATAAAAGATTATCAATATATGATGATAATCTTTGAATCTTACTCAAAACAATTGCAAATTAAAAAAATATTTGATTTTTCTACTTGAGCATTTTGAACAATTTACATGTAAAAAATTAAATTCTATTCTTCATATATTATTTCATGCTGTTTATTTAGATAAAAAAATTATTCAATACTAACAATATGCTGTATAGAATTGTTTTGAAAGATATTCAAATTCTTAATGATTTATTTAATTTATTAATAAATATTTAACAAAAAGTCACTCATTGTTTATGAAACTTAAATGCAAATATTAATGAAGATACTCGACTAGATCAACAATTAAAGTGTTATTTAACACATGTAGAATTATTATTACTTTTAATGACAAATAATGTTATTAAACATATGGATAAAAGATTACAAAATAAAATTAATCGAATAAATAAAAGTGATGATGAACATAATGAAAATAATAGTGGAATTATAACCGATAGAAAATTTGATTTCAATCAAGTTTATCATTAGTATTCAAAATACATGTTGACAAATTATAAACATTTCTATGATAAAGCAGTTGTGGGTGTGGGTGTGCCTATGAGACAATCGAAAATCCATACCCATACCCACCTCACACTCACACGCATGCTCACATTGGAGCGCTTCATATGTATTTGTGTTGCCTATGTCACAGTAACATACGCCAAACAAAGCACTAAAATTTAAAGGCTGACCTATATCGAGTCACTCGCATGAGAATACCAATCTATCAGCTAGAATGAAAAAGCTACAAAGAAAGAAACGGTGACTGATATGATGGAAAGAGAAAAGTGATACTATCATCTAAAGAATATACGACTGATTGAGTAAATCATGGGAACGAACGAGATGGTTATTTGAAATATTAGAAGGACGAAAAAAATTTAAACTGAGAAGAAAAAACGAAAATATATTTCAACATGTTCATAAACGATTGAATCATTTAAAAATCACTGTTTTCGGACTTCAAATGTTTTCTTAGTATGACGTTGTGATAATAATCAAAATTATTCAGAACCAGGATATTCTATACACTAAAGAGATGACGGCTCATGAAAATTTAAAACACACTGTCAACAGAGATCAGAGAAACAAAACTGATAAAAATGTGTTTTTTTTTAATTTTAATGTGTACGTGGTGAATTTATATTTTTTCCGGCTTACCTAAGTGAAAAAAGTTATTTTGAATATATTGTACAACTTTCCTTTGACTCATCGAAAAACAAAGTTGTTTTGCATGTGATTGATTGAAAATATTAGTTCATGCGGAATATGTGTATTCAGTCCTTGATAATTAGAAAATTGATGTATGAGAGAAAAAAACAGTTAATTACGCTTCAGTCGTTCTTATCAGTCAAAACAATTTTGTTTTGTTTACGAACTTCTTCATATGTGTAGTTACTTTTTCGTTGCATTATCATTGAGCTAGTTTTTCTTTTTCAATAATACTAAACGCTAATATATAATATTCTAGATTTATTCTTTATTACTTTTGTGATCATATAATCTTCCACAATTTTCGTCACTTCCTCGTACCAAAACGAAAAACCAAGAACTTTATTGGTTCTAACTCGTATGTCAAATAAATCAACTAAAGATTCTGTGGCTCAACTAATTTCAAGAGACGAATTCAGTTAAGCGCGTTGCATTGCTTGAAAAAAACGAGAAATAACGAATTACTGTTGAATACAATAAAGCTTGTTCAGAAAAAGATACCTAAAAATATGTTTTTCTAATTGATCTTTCCGCGTTCATACGCTTTTTGCCCTTGAAGGCGTTTTTTTAAGAGTCTTATCGGACTGGATCATAAGAGGGATGAATTTTTCTTTCCCTCGTCCTCGTAAACATAAAAATATAGTTTTTTGTTAATCATAATTACCAATGAAATTATTGTGGATTAACATAGTTTCTCTAAAAAACTAAGATGGATTGTACAAGAGCTAGAAAAACACAATAGTCATGTCTGTTGTCTTATTGGTTGAAACTAATCATGCAGTAAATATTCAGTCTGACGTTTCTATCAGATACCATGCCGTGGAAATACTAATTATATTTTTTGAGGAAAAATCGTCAAAATTTAGTTTTGCTTGCTTTCAGAAATAAAAAATATACGAGTAATTTTTATGTAGATAATTCTTACGTCGTTGTTTTTGAAACATTGCGATTAATTGCTAATTTTTTTGCTTAAATCCCGATTAATCGTCAAAACTTACGTGACTTTGATGACACCAATAATGAAATAGTGAAAACTGGAGTAATGAAGTGTTTGAATAAACGTGATCATAAGGATAGTGGTTGAGCTAGTTCTTGAGTTGATTAAAATCGAATATTGAGAGCATTGTTTTGTTTTAATAGATGAAGTCCAGTATCAATTCATCTAATATAAATTCATGGCGAAAACGCATTGGTATTGTCTGACTCTTAATTGAAGTGAATCTTATCAGCGCGAATATTTTTGGATTTCCTGCACTTTTCCAAGTGTTACCGAAGTATGGTGTCTATAATAAATTTTTGCTAATCATCAAATGCGATTAATTCGACAGAACAAAATTGTAATCGTCAAGCACAACAATATCAAGTAAATTAATTTGAAATATTTCAAGTTCTCTTTATTATCATAGTTATTTTTTAGAATGCGTTGACGTTGGGTATCATTTTTTTTAACTTATCATCCGTACTTGTTGGTATATTAATTGATATGTTAGGTGGTCGTTTTGTAAAATTAATTGGAATGTAAATTTTTTTCATCCATATGTTGATTTCAAATAGTTGTTTCTTTTTTTTACATTTTTCAGAATATTTCACGTTGTAGGATGGTTAGCGTTGGCACTTGTTAAATCTGACAAGTGCCTCAAAAAATTTATTGCCTTACTAATTTCTTTTATGTTTAATGATTTCAGATCAAGACTCATTAATATTTGTTCACACATTGTTCACAGCACTATCCGGTATTATTGTACAAATAACGAGCTATGCAGCATGTAATTATTTTTCTAAAGCACGGACATTTTTATTAACTTTACTTGTTGGTTCGAGTTTGTCAGCATCAGTTTGGTATTCTGTTTTTCAAGTAATTTTTTCATCAAAGTATAACTTCAATAAGAAATATTTTTCTAGGTTTTAATAGATAATGATAAATTAACATTAATCCAGTTATCTTATATCTAGATGTCATTTGGAGGATTGATGATATTTTCATCGTTTCTATTTCTCGATTGGAAATTTCCGACATTAAATCTTGGATATGCATTTGATACAAAATTAGAACAAACTACAACGATCACAACAGAGGGTGTGGGTGGGTGTAAGTGAACAGAATATCATGCCCACACTCACAATCTGAAGGCAACCCAATAATCGGTTAGGAACAGACGGAACGATACCAACGTCCCAAATAGCATCATTCATCAATAAAGCAAAAACGAAAGAAAGCATTAGATTTTCAGTATAAAAATGAAACTTACTTTACACCATCGTTGGCGATCTTAAAAAAAGTATTAGTCTTACAATATGAACAGTAGACTTGCTTTGTAAATTGAACTATGTGTGGTCTAAAATGAAAGAAGAAGAAATATGAAGTTTTTACTATGAACATGAGACTTACTTTGTAAACTTAATTGTTTATTACCTCAAAGTGACAATAAATGAAAGTATTTGATTTTCAACATCAGCATAAGGCTTACATCATAAACCAAATTGTTTATGACCTAAAATAGAAATAAAGGAAAATATGTTACTTTCTCAGACATGAGCCTGAAACTCACTTTGTAAAATTAATCATTCATGATCTACAATAGAAATAAACAGCATATTAGTTTTTCAACTTTGAACATTATACGGACACTGTAAATCGAGTGGTATATAATCTGAAATGGAAATAAAAGAAAGCATTAGTTTTCCGAAATGAACGTGAGATTTGTATTGTAAGTTGGATCATGCATCACCTAAAGTAGAAAACAAAGAAACTATCAGTTTTTCAATATGAGCATGAGACGTACTTGTGCAGCCGAATTGTTTATAATGTAAAATAGACATTAAAGAAAGTATTAGTTTTTCAGGATGAAAATAAGACTTACTTTATAAAATCTTTGAGATGATAAAAAAGTTAAAGAAAATATCGGTTTTTGAGACCGAATATGGGTTACACGTTGAAATTCTTTAAATAACTGATCATTTGAAATAAAACGATTTAGTCAACCCATGTAAAAAAAACAATCAGAAAAATCAACAGATACATGATTTTAATCGATTTTAGGCGTAATTAATTGATGAAAATCAAGCAATTGTGATTTTTTTTGATTAAATGCAAGATTATAATCGATTTTTCCGCATAATTGATTAGGAATCACTAGTTTTTAACCGATTATAATCGTTTTCTTCGCTGGAATTGATTAAAATCGATTTATAGGATGCCTGTGGGTGTGGGTGTGAGTGTGAGTGGTAGAGAAGATCAACACCCGCAACCACACCCACATCCACGCACACCCACACACACCCACACCGACACCCACACCGACACTCACACCCCACACCCACAACCCACACCCATACCCACATCCACACCCACACCCTTCAGTAAATATTATATTTATTCTTCAAAATTTCATTTGAAATTAGACATCAGTTTTGGCTGATTTGAATTTATTTCACATTAGCTGAAGTTTGATATAATAATGGATTTATCAAGACAAAGTCTTAACAGCGATGGAAAATATTAATTCAGTCAATTAATTATATAATATATCGAATTAAATGAATTAGTTTATTCTCTCATTTGTATAGATGAATACATCTTAACAAGAATTCTAATGTTCATAAATTTTGTTTCATAACAACAAAGAAAAGAAAACCGGTGATGATACTGACAAACTTTTTTGCATCAAAAGCCTAACGATAAAACTCATATTCAAATCATTTCACAGTCTGATGCCTTCATCTCATTCGATGAAACGTATGCATTCAATTTGGTCAGATTTTTTATTTATTAGAATAAGATATTCGGCACATAAAGGATAATAATACTCCGTGCTTTGTCAATAGATATGTTTGCAGCTGTTGCAATAATACGGGTTACAAAGGATTGACAGTTTATTTTATCACCCGTTGCGATCAATCTTTGATACTCCTGAGCTTCAAATGATTTCGCATAATTTCTGAGTACTGCTGAATCAAAATATGGTAATTCTTTTTGAATCAAATACCATGAATATTCTTTGCAATCACGTTCATACCATTCAGCTCTTTCGTTTTTCGAACTTATAAGAACTTTAACTTGATTGTTTTTATCGAGAACTAATTGATAAATAATTCCATTAATCTGAATAGACCAATGAAGACCATCAACTCCAGGAAGAATATTAAGACCAATAAATGCTCTACCAATGGGTCGTTTTCCAATCCAAGCACCTTGTTCCAAATCATTTGTTGCACTAACAATACCATTTGCAAGATTTCTTGGTATTCGTAATGGATTTAAATCTGCCAAATCTAATGAGACGGAGTGTCTCGCTTCCGGCATATCACCTTGTGCTGCATAAACAAGACCTCGCATAGCACCATATGCTTGACCCAAAACTGGAACAGTTTTTATTATGTTGAAAGCTTTTCTTTCAGACATTTTAATGATTATCTAAATACTGATAACATTAGCATGATGCCACAAGATTGCACTGCTGATTGAATTATATTAAAACAAAAAGACTTATTCGATTATAAATCAATTTTTGGTCTAAACTTTTCTCATTAGGTAGGGGTGTGGGCATAGATCTTTCCTTTACTCACACCCATCCACACCCTGAATTGACGTCAAATCGATATTTACAGCTCATAATTAGTAGTATTCAAGAAGTTTTAACTAAAAAGTATACATTTTTATTGAAGTATTTAAGATTATTCGATGTGGCACAACTGAGTCATGTTTAATTTCATACTTCACTTTTTCTATTTCATAGAACAACAGCATTTTTTAGATAAAACGTTCAGAGCGCGCTGATAATTAAATTGTTCCAATAATGAGAAAATTTTTAGCTCTAAATATTACGAGTGGATTGTTCTGTATTTGTTACTTTCGCACTGGTCCAGAATACAAAAATCAATGAAAATAACGGCACAATAAAGACTAAATCATGTTAATTAGTGTAGACATTTTTTATCTTTCTCTGGTGCTTATCTAATACTTAAAATGCTTGCCCCAAAGAGGAGTCATATAAGTGTAGTTTCTCTCGTTATTAGTTGTTTGCAACATGCTCTGTTCTCAAGAATAGGTTGAAAACAATGATTATCGCTCATTAACCTTAAAGATACAGGTACATTCATCATCAACATGAGAATAATTTGCTTACTTAATCGAGAAGTCGTAGCAGATTTTTCTTAACAATTTTCCTATAGATGAAAATATTATAAAATAAAATTTCTTATAGGCATCCTTTCATTTCTTGAATACCCACAAAAACAACAAAGATCTTCTTGCTCATATGTTGCACAACTCTTTATTAAAGACATTCTACGCGTGTCTTTTATTGACTAATAGAGATAAGATAAATATAAAACAAACGGAATGAAAAAAAGGATGAAACCAGAGAAAGCAGAGAAGTCTCCTGAAAGAAAAAACAATCAATCTATTTCGAGCCTTTTCAATACACATTGCTCGATATTCTCTCATTTAACTAGCCTTCGTAGTTCTCCTGCTGGACACAATCCGTCTTTCGGAGTCGAAGTTCTTGACGGAAGTTCATCTGTATAGTATACTGGGCTGGATTGAGTTTAAGAGTGGAAAGACAGATCAAAGTCTAGGTGTGGAGTATGAGTACAGTTTCTCTTGTAGAAACGGCACTCAAATTCACATCTGCATTAAGGCTCAAACTTATAACAACACTCTTGATTGAGTTTTTATGCACCAACAACTGTGAACGCGTCTCTTAGAACTGCAAGTGCTTGTGTAAGTAGATATAACAGAATACTTTCGATTTGATTGCAAGTGTCAATTTCCACCGATAGATATAATAGCCATGTATGCACACCCCGTATCGATAAAATTTATGTTGGGATGGGTGTAGGCATCAAGTTTGAGAACACTCACAATGATACATCACATCCACACCTTGAGTATATTCTTTTTCCTTCCCTTCAGAAAAAACTTTGTTGGCCTTTACATCAGAGTATGTCGTATATTTATATATAAGAAGTATATCCTATAAAAACTATAAACAATGTTTGTGGCAATTTTCGGCTGCTCCTTATTTCATAACGACATTTTCGTTTGCAATCATCTTCAGAAAAGGAAAAATGATAGTCTCAGCCACCGGTTTTTTGTGCATCCTTCACAAGCAAGAATTCTTATATTGACGTGAGTAATTTCTTCTGAATTGTTGATCGTATATCGATATCAATTGATAGCGAAAAAGGAAAACATATTCGTATTTTCAATCGTAGTCAAGTTGTTCTTGCTGTTCGTCATTGAATTATTTCTCTTCTTTTTCCTTCTCAATCAAAGCTCAATTTGTGTCTCTCTACAGTTGTTTAGCATTTTTTCTGCTCTTTCTAGTCATACTATTGTTCTTTCAATTTCGCTCTTCTCGTCTCCAAAGATTATTAAAAGCTAAATATATATGCTCGTGATTGTATACGCATAATGTGTGGTTTAATATTGTAGTAAGCCTTTACATATACCTCTTTTTTACTTTGTCATTTGTTATTTAAGACCTTCCAAAGGTTACATTAAAGAGTATAATGAGAAAAGCGTTACCTCTATTGTTTGTTGACACAATAGACGTACGATGAATAATAAAACATGATGTCTTCGTGAAAATAGCGATAGAAAGAACGGCAGAGGACAGTCAATTTTACACAATAATTCTTTGTGCAGGTAAAATTGTGCACAGAGTTTTTTTTACAGTATTATTTTATATAAGTTACTCATAAGTTAACATGGGTAAATCACACCGATAATATAATATTGATAGTTTGAACATTTGTAGAATAGTTGTAGTGGTATTAAATGACAGTCTGAAATATTGAGCGAGCCAAATGAATCATTCGAAAAGGATGAGAGTGTGGGTGCGGTTTTTCGAGTATTTATTCTAATAAAACCATATACACCGACGACCCACAACCATTATCACTTTCAAGACACGCTCGTCGTTCGTTTTATATAGATGTGAATGTGGGTCAGAGATGAGCACAGGACAAGACAGGGCACCAGGACCGTCCTGTCCTGTGCTTATCTATGGTGTGGGTGTGGGTGTGGGTGAATGAAAAAGATAAAGGTACACGCACACCCATACCCACACCCTCATATACGTCGTTTTGTTGAATACGTGTCTTTTTATTAGAGTAACAAAAATACTGTGCAATATAATGAATTTAAACCCAGGTTAAGTTACTTAGGTCATACCAAAAGTAGTGAGCTCCGCATCTTAATTTCCTATAGAGTGCTTGGAAAAAATTTCTTTTTTTATGAAGAGATAGAGCGTCTTTTGCTCTATCTTTCTATGCTATTTGATCACTATTCAACCTATATCATAATAATAAAATTTCGATAAGATTTCTTTCTTTCGCATGTGTCCTGATACCATGAACATGAATGTTCGTGGATGTTTTTTGAATAACGTTTGATAGCAACAAGATATAGAACTGCGGTTTTCAGTGTTGGAAAGAGGAGATGACGACACATCGAACCGCATATTACGAACTTTTCTAACCTGTTTGTTGTAAGGTTTTCAGTTGACCTTTCAAAGAGTAAACCTATCCCGTGAGTTATTTACAGTGAATATTGAATAATCAGGTTCACATTCAAACCACTACTCGAAGATCTACAAACTGCGAAAGACTCAGATGTTTAAATTTAATTATTTAGAGATAATACGTATTCTAACTATGATTTTCTATCAAGTTTTTTGCTTTTTCTTATTTTCATAAAAAAAAAACTTTTTTTAACGGTTAGAAAATTGAATAAAAAAAACTTTAGAAATCATATTAGAAAAATCAGTAGTATACAGTTCGATGCGTCTTCGTCTCCTCTTTCCAACGCTGAAAACCGCAGTTCTCTATCTTGTTGCTATCAAACGTTATTGAAAAAGTACTTAGGGGCATTCATGGTACCAGCACATATGCGAAAGAAACAAATCTTATTGAAATTTTATTATTATCATATTAGTTGAATAGTGATCAAATAGCATAGAAACATACAGCAAAAGACGCTCTATCTCTTCATAAGAAAAGAAATTTTTTCCAAGCACTCTATAGGAAATTAAGATGCGAGGCTCACTACTTTTGGTGTGGCCTAAGTAGTATCTACACTCTTGTTCATGATCATCGTGAGCATCGTCAAGAACAACTTGAAGAGACAATGAAATGCAACCGTTCTTCTCATGTTGTCACAATTGCATGGTGATTAAAGTAACTTTGTTACAGATTGAAGACGATACTAAATCTAGGTTCAATTCAAGAACATCAACAAGTCATCGTTTAATGCATCTCTTAATTTTTAATTGCAAGATGAAAGTGACATTAATATTTCTGTAGTAGAGGTGTAGAGTCCGCTGTAAAAGGGAAAAATTTTCTCGGATAGAAAAATAACTCGAAGAGTTTTCACAGACTCAATAGTTTTGAACAAATATTTCTAGACAATAATTTTCCAAAAAGTTTCTCCGAACGCAATATGACTTCAAAAACTTCCCTAGATCGATAAAAAATTTACTCGGACACGCGTTCTCACTCACGGATAGATTCTTCACCTCTGCTCTATAGACGCTATGTTGTGTTTCATCAGTTAATTTTGTTTTATCGCAATTTTTTGTATAAAAATCATATTGTATTTGTTGTACTATAATTCCTTAATCAATTGCTTATCAAACTTTTATCAATATTTCATTGATGTTGGTAGTCTTAGAAATAAATATATTTCAGTTACACTGGTGACTTTTGATTGACATCGCAAGGCTTGTTTGTCAGTCGCAGCACGATCTAACAAGAAAGTAACATATCGAATGAAAAATTACAATAGGAATGAGTGTGAGTCTTCTCTTAAATCATATCAACATCCGGTTTATTGCTAGTGGACCAATTTAGTACCGGTGGACCGGTAAATATTGGTAGGATGTAGGTATCTTGACAAGAAAACAGCTCTGTGTCTCAGAAGAAATGACTGCGTTATTGATTCCAGATTATTTTCGAATAATTCGAATTGAGAAGATTGTTTTATTTGTCTAGCAAATTCTTCGACCTGCATATATTTTTCTCAATAATAAATGGCATTATGATTCACTGTTATTAACTATGAGACTTTTCTGTGAATAAAAGAACTTTTTCATTATTATCATTAATTTTCAAACATTTTTTTTTTGCAATGTATTATTACATGTACTTATTTTGTTTTATTTTGAAAATGAAAGCTTGTTTGAATTTTCAATAATTATGTATATTTTATACAAATAAAAAAATCTGTTCTACTAATGTTTCTTGACTCCTAGTTAAGGAAATTGTTGATCAATTATCAAGATCTAATTTTTGACTGCTTATAAACTTTTTCAATAATCATTATATAACTTTTTGATAATATTTAACAGATTCTTGTTGTGAAACACGATCTAAAAGGAGTGTTGAAGCGCAAGAGTAAAA